TGGAGGTCATGGCCGGCAACAGACATCAGTGGCGTCAATATTATTCTGCCATTTTATCACCCCTTTGGTGCACACAAAAACTCACAAAACAAAACAAAAAATACAAAATGGCGTGTGTAAAACCAAAAAAATCGTTTCCCATATTTTTAATCGCAGTTCGTGTTCCCATCTTCTTCACTTTTTTCTTCTGCCATGGTTCTGATGGCACAATGTCTGTTAAGACTATATATATATATATATATATATATATATATATATATATATATATATATATATATATATATATATATATTGCCATCTGAGAACGTATGGGAAACTACGGTACCGATCCGTAGGCTCGATGCGACTGTAGCGAGGAAAATTTCTCGGGACGGGTCAAAATGAGTCAGGAGTAGGTCTGAAGTCAGCAATGACTTGACCCGCTCGAACGAAGTCTGGCATTCTGGCACCAATTCCAGGTTTGGTCCTTGCTTAGCAACTTGTTTAGGGGGGCACGTAAGCGATGTAGTTCGGGCAGAAATGCGCTGTAATGATTGATTAGGCCACAGCAGTTGCAAGTCCACAGGCGGATATTTTCTGGATCAGGGCGACGACCGTCTTTGGAGAAAATGAAACCGAGACACTTGATGGTTGGTGTAAATATATATACACTTGTCTTCACGGATACGGAACCACCCATATGACTGGACGCCTTCAAGCACTTCAGTGAGCCGCTCGAATAGTTTTGCCGTCCGATCCATTAAAATGATATCATCCAAGTACGCCGCGGCCTCAGAAACTCCCGCGAGCATGGTGTCCATCAGCTGCTGGAAGATGGTTGGTGCTGTTTTCACTCCAAAAGGGAGGCGGTTGTACTGGTACAAGCCACGATGAGTGTTGATAGTCAGTAATTCTCTCGAGCCTTCATCAACCTCGACCTGAAGGTAGGCATCGGACAAGTCGAGCTTGGCGAAACACTTCCCACCATTCAGCTTGGCCATGCTATCCTCTGGTATCAGAAGGGAGTACTGATGGTCATCCAGTACGGCATTCAGGCCAGTCGAAAAATCGGCGAAGACATGCACTTTACCGTTCGGCACAGGCCATGAAGAGTTCACTGGTGTGATGACACCAGCGTGCTCCAGTCGGTCGAGCTCCTGATCAACTACTGCCACGGCTGCATATGGTACCGGTCTTTTTGCTCTGAAGACTGAATTGGTTCCTTTGCGAAGGCACAACTTCGCTTTGAACTTAGTGCAGTGACCGAGACCATTTTCAAAAAAGGCGGCAAACTTCTGCTTTAGCTTTCTCGTCATGTCTTCTATCGACAAGGATGCATGGATTGGGTCCGTTTGAACTCTATTGCAAATCTGACTCATTGGAACATCAAACAGTTGTAACTTTTCCATCCAGTCAAGCCCAAGGAGGTTCAATTTTGGTCGGTCAGACAAGTAGAAGGTGCCGGCCTGTTCCACTCCGTTGAACGCAATTTTGCAAGTTATTTCTTCGACCAGCTTCAGCATTCCACCGGATGTGTTGTGGGCGACTTTGTTGAAATCAACCATCTTCGGCCTCTCTATGTGCTTCCAAGTGTTCTTGGAAATGATCGTCATATCTGATGCCATATCGTACTGCAGCCTGGTTTGGATTCCGTTGATGAGCACAGTGATAAATCGGCAGCGTGTTCTAGAATCGCTGTGAAATATGGCAATCACCGATAGTGATCCTGCGTCAGAGTTCCTGAATTCCTTCCTTCGGTAGGACTGCTTCACGTTTCTTGGCCGGGACTGATGACAAAAATCTTCCTTGTGGCCGCTTTTATGGCACTTATCACAAATGTGATGCTTGAATAGACAGTATCGTGCGAAATTCCATTCACCACATGACCAACAAGGTGTAGGCGGCTTGTTCGGCGCTCTGTTGAACGGCTTGTTTGAGCCAGCCTTTCTTGCTTTTTGCACAACATGAACAGTATTGGCAATGCTGGGGCGACTCTGCTCAATCATATCGGTATCGTGTTTTAAAGTGATCAACCGTTTACATTCGCCCACAATAGACTTCAATGTCAAATCAGAATGTTGGTCCAACTTAGCAAGGAGCAGAGTGCGGATTTCCGCATCTCTTGGAGACTGTAAAGCACTGACAAATATGAGACACTTAAACTGGTCATCCGTTAGACAGCGTAGCTCGAAACGTTCGTATTCACGGTTAACCAGGTCTGCTAGTACCCCATAATCGTCCGTATCCCGCTTAACAATTTTTAGACATTGGTAGCGAATGCTAAACAAAGACGTTGACTCACTGAAAATTTTTGAATATTGCCACTGCTTCGTTGAAAGTGATGTCCTTCGGCTCTTTGGGCAGGATTTTGTCGACGAATCTTGAATGTTCATTAGTACCGAGCTTGTGGAGCAAAAGGCACACTTTCCATGAATTTTCTTGACGGCTGAAATCCGTCCGGAACATTTCCTCCCAGCGTTTGAACGACGCCTCGAAAATGCATTCGGAATCAGCATCATAATGAAATTCAGTGATTGAATTCGTAAGAAGATGAACTGAAACGGCCTGCATGTCCCGTGTAACTGCTATGTTTGACTGTATGTTCAAGCACTGCGTCAAACTTCAATCAGTTTCATTTATGCCTCCACCTGCGATTGTTGCTGAAGAAGCAGCTTCTGAAAATGTTCGGCGGGAAAGTTTGTAGCATTTTCGTGCTTGTCCGTCGCCATAGTTAGATCTTCACGTTTTCACGCTATTCCGAATCCAACACCCAAAACTTTCTCCGCAAAAATTCTAACCCAGCCGAAAAAATCAAGTCTAATGACCTTAAGCAGGTGTTACCAAAAACGCCGCCAAACGTAACGAAAAACGCCGCTAAAACGCTGTACAACTACGCCAGATCTACGCCAAATATATAGGGGGCTCAATGACCTTCGGCCTCTAGAAAACGAAGATCAACTGGTAAAGTTAGCAGCTTCCCTGCCAAAACAGTATGATGACGATCACGTGAAGGAATGGAAGGTTTCGGAATCTTCGAAATCAATGCACGATCGAAGATAATCGATTAATTGTTAAAATAATGGGTTTTCCTTTATGTTTTTACCTTTTCCCGGATAGCCGTGATGAAATAAAATCGGATACTAGGAAATACTGACTTGAAATCATACTGCCTGAAGTGACAAGAGTCGGTTTTCAACAGGCGGAGGCTGTGTGCGAGGGCTTAACACATGTGAGGTCGATGGATAGTGGTCGGAGGTAACGGATTAGTAGGGCGCCATGTGATCAATTAAGAAATCGGCAACAGTAGTATACTGGTACTTCTTATTGGTGAATAGCTGTAATGCGGTCATAAATAAGATACTAGATATGCAAGCAAGGATACTACGAAGTCGCTCAAGTCTCACCAAAGTCTTCAGCTTTAAACTGACTCCAACATCGATAGGATATGGAGGGTCACTAATCAACCCTAAGGTAACCCGCAACTAACAGTGTGAGAGGTGAATGGGGAGAAACCAGATGTCCGCTGGAGATATGGTCTTTCTCTAGTAGCAAGTGCATTACATCTCCGTGACCCAGCTGTGGTCGTCAGATTAACCAGACTCACCCCGATTCCGAATGCGTGTATCATACTTGTTAGTCTAGAAGCCTCCAGATATAGTAATCAAAATAGCCATTAAGGATTATGAAATAGGCGAATTCAGATGACTTCTCCTAGACTCTGGTACAGAGACCAGGATGCCGAGGTGGGAAGTGGGAAGCTCTCTCGTGGCACACTTTGATAATGAATCATGTCAATTGAGTAAAAGATGACCTTTAAGTCAGGGGTCAGCAAAGTATAGTATATGTGTGCAGGATGCTGTTTAAGTACCCGGTTAAGGCAATGTCTTTGGTCGATGAGTCCTCTACTTCCTCGGCTCAAAGGCGTGTGAGCCGGGTGAAAACAGGCGATACAAAGATCATACCTAATACCAAAATAAAAAGTAACAGCAGCCATTTAATGTGAACTAAATTCGACCTCATTGTATGTAGACAATAGTGTCAATGGTGAATCCAGGACCGTAAGGAGAATCGTGATTTTGCCCCACGGTGGCTGCCTCGATTGGAGGCCGTCAGTGATCCCACGTACCTACGATAACGTCGAGTATGGACGGTTGGGTGATAGCCATGAAGCACCGACTAACGTAGAGGATAACTCTGATCGACCGATATTCCGACCCCTGGTGTAGTGATAGAGGCGTTCCAGTCCCCGCTCCCGCTTAGATTTGGACACCCTGGTTGTATCTCGGGTAGCGCATAACAACTTGTGGTTGCGTAGTAGCGAATCACCGACGCAAAACGCCAACCTATTGCTGGAATCATTCATAGTGACCAGACAAGTTTGTTCATGAGTAACACAGATGCTTGATGAACGAATAACATATTCAGTGTCAAGCGAGAACTTAGAAAACGATCAGGGTGTCGAAAGGTCGTAGTTTTTTTAACGTTTTGATCATATTTCGATGGAGCTGTACAGATTTAAATTTTGACTTGCTTACACAATAGTATGATTTGTATTTATGAACGTGGGGAAGTAAAGTGAGCTACTTGATAGGCACGTGCGCAAACCCTTATAAAAAAGAAATTTGAAAATATATGGTTGACACACTGGCTGACAACTGAACTTTGACTACAATCAGATATGCCCCCGAATGAGTTCAGTTCGGTTAAACAACCATAAGCAGTAATCCGAGGTGCGGTGACCCCAGTAGTCAAGACCTATGTTGTTATGATAACGGAGGAAAAAGCAACGGTTGAGAAATTGAAGATGAGGGAAAGACCGATATACTTGCAAATAAAAATCCAATATGAACGAGTCAGAAAAAGGCTGTAGTAGTTTGACGAAAAAGTCAAAAGTAGTAAATGATAGACAAACTGAGTGCAAGAGCACCACTGAGTTCCAGTTGAAAGCACACCCGATATGGCGTCTAGCCATTAGCAAAGGATATCACAAAGAACACAATAAGGTTATCATGTAAACTCACGACCAATTTGGATTTTGGCGAATAACTTCCCATAGCCACTTTCTCAAGTTTAGTTGGGATTTCCGATTCGTGCAGTCGTAGACTAGAATAAGGCCATGGACAGCGTGGTAGAATACAGACCGAGTGTTCGCATGCGCGTTGCACCCGCCAACGTCCCACAACTCAATGAAGAAGGGCTTCTCGGATCCCATGTCACCCCGAAAAAGGTGCATCTAAAATCCCGATTCGGTTACATGGTGAAGAACGTGCCTTCACTTCGAGGCCACATCCGACAGTGTAGCTGGGGTTACACAGAGGCTGTTCTTTGCATAACAAATGAACCAAAGCAGTTTTGCCAACACCTGTGGAGTGAGGTCGGTGAAAAAACGCATACGTACCCGAATCGCCCACAACGACAACCTTGGACCTCTCAGCCTCCAACATGAAAAGCTGGTGAGTCGAATGGGGACTAGTAATAATGCTGACACCACCTGCGCAAGCACAAAAGAAAGCGCAAATTGCAGTGCATCACAGGAATAAGCATGACATATAAGCTTGCTATATTCCTGATAGGTGTGAGCCGAACCTACTATCAAAGGAATCGGTAGACTAGGTATGCCCTACTGACTAAGAGAGCATACAAGGCTTACTCAGTTCTTACGGTCGGCAAGGATAGTCAGGAACCGAGAAGACTGAAGACACCTCGCTTACCAAAAGAAAGTGATTGGCGGCATCCGTATCCGGATTTCCTGTCACTGTGGCCTGCACGAGGACAGCCGCAGGACACCTGCACCCACAGAGGGACCATGGATGACTTACGCTGCAACACCCACAGCTCAATCCACAAACCCCACATCCAGTTTAAACCCGAAGGAATAAGACCGGGAGGTGTGCGGACGGGAACCACGTTTCATCAACGGAGCTGGCCCACACTCCTTCACAGGCAAACACAAGCACGTTGTATTTGGGGATTCAAACGCACACAAGGCGGTGGCTGGACCATAGTCCGCTTCACACTGAATGCATGGAATCAGTATTCGATGTAACACGGCCACGAGGACCATGCACTTCGTCCCCTCCAGTAACGACCAACTGTCTCCCGGAGCCAGTATAGTGGTAGTGGGTAATAGACAGGTTGACACTTTGTCAACGTGCGCGTCAAACGCAGCTACGCCCGGGACATCAAGCAGAGGCCAATCACATGAGATGAAATGTCGAATAAAATGGATCAAATACACCGTACGGATATGGCGTTAAATTAGCATATGAAATAAATGGATTATCATAATAGTTGTGAGAGATTCAGTATGGCAGAAAAGGGGATCAACACACATACGTAAGAAGAAAAATAAGCGAAGTTAACCAATTTCAGCTTAAGCGAAAGGTGCTATTTAATAGATTATTCAGGTACACATTAAAATGAGGTGAGAAAATAAAAATAAGACAAGGTAGACAACCCACCACCTGAAATAAAGTAACTCAGCATGCAAGCACGCGGTTAGTAAATCGAATGCAGCGTACCTACAAACGCTACGCTGGTTCTGCCTACGTTCTATGCAGGACACATCGCCACTTCGGTTGCGGTCCCGAGTGGCTTCGCTCATGGCTCACTAGTCCTGACTGAGTCAGGCACTCGCGAACACAAGTGCTGCAGCACCATGCTCTCGATGTCGATGGAGCACAACCCATCGGCGCTTGCCGCTTCCGCACCTGCCGCTTCTTCTCTGCATGTATGAGGTCTTTCTCCCGCACTTCGGCAACTGCCTTCGTGATTAGATCGCGCCATGCACGCCGATCAACCGCCTTCGATTCCCATGATCTGCAATCAAGATTAGAACGTGAAAGGCTCACTTTGATCATGTCCTGGTAACGTAACTTTGGTTTCCCCACATGTCGCTTCCCAATACTCAGCTGACCATGTAATGGTTGCTTCGGTATCCGCGTTGAATCCATACGGCTCACATGACCGAGCCACCTTAAGTGTCTCAGCAGAAGTATGCAGTCCACTGCATACATTCCACTTTGTCGCAACACTTCCGTGTCCGCAACTCTGTCGCCCCAACCGATGCGCAAAATCCGTCGCAAACGCTGCTGATGGAACCGCTCGAGATATCGCACATCCCGACGGTACATCGTCCACGTTTCACTGCCGTATAGAAGAACGGACAGCACCATGGATTTGTACACCATCAGCTTCATGCCAATGGTAAGCTGATGGTTGTTCCACACTCGGTACTCAAGCTTCCCGAATGCCGCCGCTGCCTTCGAGACGCGGATACGCAGCTCAGTGTGTAGCTGCTGTCAGTCGACATCACACTCCCAAGGTAGCAGTAGCGGAAGGCGGTTTCCAATACTTCAGCACCAATGCTGATTCGCGGCAATATTGAAGATTGCACCTCCGGTGAAGGCTGTAAGAGACAGACAGTTTTGCTTGTGTTGATTGTGTGCCCGAATTTGGCCGCTGTCGAAGCCAGAGCACTAGTCATATGCTGCAACTCATCCGCGCTGTGTGAAAACAACGCACAGTCGTCAGCAAACAGCAACATACGGATAGTTGTCTCACAGACAACGGGTTCTCGCACCGAAACGACGGATGTTCAGCAACCCACCATCAATACGGTGCTCCACACGCACACCGTAAGCACAAGCGGCATCAAAAGCACAAGACAACATTGCATGAAGATATATATTAAACAGGGCAGGAGCTAAGACACAGCCTTGCTTCACACCAGAGACAACTGCAAAGTCATCCGAGGTCTCTCCACTCAGCTGCACCCTCGCCCGCATACCACTGTGTAGACATTCAATTAAACTTATAAACTTACGCGGGCAACCAAACTTACCCAACACCAGCCACAATGCCTCGCGTTTCACCGTGTCAAATGCCTTGGTGAAATCAACGAAAAGCGAGTACAACGGCTGGTGTCGTTCTCTGCACTTCTCCTGCAACTGACGAGCCGCAAACACCATATCTATAGTGCTGCGACCCGAACGGGATCCACATTGCTCTTTCGCCACGTTAGGTTCTACAACCTGAATGACGAGGCGGTTGAGCAGGATTCGGGCAATCACCTTGCCCACACAACGCAGCAAGTTGATGCAACGATAATTCGTGCAACATTGCTTACTCCCTTTCCCTTGTACAGTGGTAGCACAAGGGCATCCTTCAGCTCAAGAAGCACCTCCTCCTCAATCCATACACGTTGCACCAAGTGGTGCACCGCAGTCAACAACGCGGGTCCGCCGTGCTTCAATACTTCAGGCGGGATCCCGTCGGCACCGGCACATTTGCCGTTTCGCAGCTGAGCAAATGCTCGCTGCGTCTCATCCAGTGTCGGTGTGGCCGCCAGACTCATCTTCACATCGTGCTGCCCCAGAGCTTTCAATGTAAGCCAGTCAATCTGAACGGTTATTCAAGAGACAGTTAGTGTTTTGCCAGATCTGCATTATGTCTGCAGTCTGTGTGCAGGTAGCGCCTGAACTACGATCGATTAGCGTCCTCAGTGGCTCCAATCTCGGTCCACACACCGCCTTCAAGGAGTCGAAGAATTCCTTGTGTTGGCGGCGTTCGGCATAGTATTCCATCTGCCTCGCCCTCTCCGTCCATCATTAATTTTTTATGCGACGGAGCTCTCGGGTCAATCGTCGTCGAAGTTTGCGAAACTGTCTCTTCTTCCACAAGTCATTGGGGTCCGCCACATGCGCAGCAAATGCTGTATTCTTCTTCGACAACAATGCGCCAATCGTCGCATTGTTCTCATCAAACCAATCAAGCCGCTTACAGTTTGCGCGCCTGATGGTCTCCTCGACAGCAGCTGTCACCTGGTCGCGAATGTGATGCCACAGGTCGTCTACTGTGGCTATGCAGTCCACATCACACAGTCGTGCAGCCATCGCCTTCTCCAACTCAGTACGTTTCGCCCCAGTACCGAGGGAATGTTAAATTTACGCCGATTCACGGCGGCAGTGCAACACATAGATTTACGAAAATATATATACGGTTTGGTCCTCACCAACTTGTGATCAGTGCCACACTTAGCTCCACGCAGTACACGTGTCATGCGTACTTCACGCATATCACGCTGACGTACGATGACATAGTCGAGCAGGTGAGCGTGACCACGCCGTAGGTGCGTCCATGTTGCCATATCACTCGCACTAAGTGCAAATCGAGTGTTCGTGATCACCAGGCAGTGAGTGGCACCTAGTGAAAGAAGCCTGTCACTGTTCGCATTCGCTGAACCAACGCCATGCGGACCGATGACATCTGTACACGCCGATGTATCATGCCCAAAGCGCGCGTTGAAATGACCCAACAGAAATAGTCGGTTATTCCTCGCCGCAGACCGTATCACGGAGGACAAGTGATTGTAGAACTGATCACGCGTGACATCAGGATAACACATGGTCAGGCCGTACGTGTTTATAAAAGTGGCGAACTTACCACTTCGGAGTCGTAGACGAGCAGTCATCAGTCGCGCACTGATGCCAGCCGGCTCACCCACCAGCTGGCCATTGAGGCGATCGGATGGTGCAAATCCGACCCCATGTTCACGTGGTGCTGTTGTGGCGTTTCCCACCCAGTAAAACGCATAGCCGGCACCAGCTTCATGCGACGTACCTTGCTGAGCGAGCCGGATCCCGCTTAGCGCCGCAATATCGATGTAGCGCGCCAGTTGCATCGCGACCAGGGCGCTCACTCGAATTTCGGTCCAGTAGTGTGCGCACGTTCCAGCACCCGATGTTGAGTGCTTTGCGCGCAGGCAGACCATTGCATTGGTGGACAATCGCATGCATGGTGGTGGTTGTGCTTCGGAGGTGTGCTTGAGGGATTCCGCCCGGAGCCTTTGGCTCAATAACTTGACCCATAAGGCAGTGGGCAGCAAATGCAGTTCGGAAATGTGAATGCAGAGACAGATAGGAATCTGCTTGACGGCCGTCACACACAGCCTTTGAGGTTCTGGAACGATTCATGTGTATTGTGACCATAGTAAGATACGCACCCGCGATCATGGCCAGACCCAGGAGGGTTTTGGCGCCTGTGCACCAATTTGACCGGAGACTGGTTGGCTTGCGGCGGGCAGTAATAAACCTTTGAGCACTCAGAGGTGCCATCCTACCGTCAGAGACTGCGTAGAGCTCGTGCTCTACGCCAATCGAGCTGTGAGTTTATAACCCGTGGAACTGTTGTCTCCCATGACTTGTCCTTACGGGAAGAGGGCCATCGACAACTTCTTAACCTCCGAAGAGGATGGTCTAGGATACTGGCAGGGCGTTCACACCTGACAGAAGAACGACTCGGATTCTCAGCCAAAGCCTTCGATTTAATGTACGCCCGAAAGGCAGCGGGTCTAGTACATTGTCGGTTCACTGACTCATGCGGATTGGGGTTCTGGCTCCTAGCTAGAAGGGCGTAACCCAACTCCCACCCAGCAGTCGCCACG